CTCAAAATTATATTTCATTGAAAAATGACAGCCTATTGTTAGCTACTTCCATGGAAGACAGAAAATCTATATATTTATTTTAACTGTATTGACAATTTTCTACTACTTGGTTGTGCTGTTTAATGCTAAATCCTGCCACGCCAAAAATGAACTCATGCTCTTCTAATTCTCAGTTTGATAATTTTTTTTGTGTGTGTGACTTGCCCAATATTCTCACCTACAATGCCATGATTTAAAGCTTAAGAGCATAGAGTCACCTTAGCCCCTTTTTCTTTTCTGCTTTCCTCAGACCCCAAAATAACTGTATCAAGCCACCTAAATTTGTATTCTGCCCATATAATTACTGCTGTCTGCTGATCCCTCTGTTAGTCAGCTTTTTGTTGCTGTTACCAACACCTGAGCAAAACAATTAAAAGGAAGAAAGATTTATTTTGGCTCATGGTTTCGGGTACTTCAGGCAATGGTCAGCTTTGGGCCTGAAGTGAGTGAGGCAGAACATCATGTCGGAAGGGTGTGGTGGAGGAAAGTTGCTCAGCTCATGATAGCCAGGAAGAAAGCAGGGGAGGGTCCAGGAACAAGAAATACACTTCCAAGGCACCTACTCCCCCCCCCCCCGCCCAGCAACTTAATTCCTCCCACCATGTCCCACCTACCTACACTTTCTATGGCTTCCCAATAGTCCATTCAGCTATCCATGGATTAATCCATGTATGAGGTCAGAGCTCTTGTGATCTAATCACTTCCCTAGAGCCCCACCCCTGAATATTGCTACTCTGGGAGCCAAGACTTTAATGCATGATATTTGGGGGGGAAATTCCAGAACCAAATTGTAATAATCCCATTTCAGAATGCTTGCTTGACTGATAGTCAGACTCCCCTGCCCCATGATCTGACTTCCACTTCCTTTCTAGACCTCTCTAAACTTGCACCCCTCTGTTCCTACCCTACTCTGTACCCCATGCTCCAGACATGATTTAGCTACTTACTGAATTCCCAGGCAGACTCATGTTTTTCCTTGTTTTCAACTGAGCCCTCTATCTAAAATGGCAATCCCAATTCTATTTACCTAACTAGTGTAAATTCATCTTTCAAGGCATGGTTCCAATTTCATTACAACTTTAAAGCACCTCTCTGCTTGAAGCCCGACTTCTCTCAAAGGACCTATAACACCGTAATGCACTAATTGATGTCTTAAAAAAGCCCATCAGTGTGGCAGAAATTGCATATTGCCTCCCTTAGTCTCCTTGCACTTTCTCTCTGATCTGATTAGAGAGATTGAAAAGCTAGAAACTGCATTTGGATGCCTTAGTAGCATCTAAATCCTATCAATTATGGTTGTACCAACTTCTGTGAGAAGACATTGGATGCATCTCCCCCTTTTCCTTTACTTCAGTGCTATCGTTCTCTCTCCTTCTCTTTCTTTTTTGATGCTTTGCTGCCCACATGCAGGACACAGAAATGAGTGTTGAAAGGCAATGGCCAACTTTCGCAGTCCATCACCAAGAAGCTTCCTCCCCAGGAAGTGAAGAAGCTACAGCAGTGGTATCAACAGACTGCTGCCTTCTATTCTGCTGCTTCCTGATGGGAGTCTGAGTTCAACTGTCCAGTGGTGGGTCCCTCATTTGGGCACTTATTCCCTCCCAGAGGTTTTGTGCTTCCCTGTATTTTATTTCTTTGCACCTTACATACCTACAATGTTTTTTTTTTTTTTTCTACACTGAATCCTGATATGATTTGCTTCTATTAAACTGTAACGGCATTGAAAGTAAGAACAAGGTGTTTCTGTTTTTAAATTCTTGTGGACACAGTGGACTTTCTTCAAATAAATAACTGATTCACTGAATGAGCCAATAATGACTGTAAATTATGTATCACACTAAACAGGAAATTCACCCTGAGGCACAAATCCCTTTTCTAACACTCTTATTCTTTCCTGGCCAACCTGGTCTCAGGCTCTCCTGTAATTCAGTCTAATGATTCTAGTTGTTACACTTTGTGCAACTATGTTTTGTATCGTTCTCTACCTTCTTGTTCGGATGGCTGCTCCTGTCTACAATATCTTCCTTCCTCTCTGCCACCACACATTCACCAGTATGGGAAAAAGAATACCCAAACATCACACTCCATAATAAATACTCCTCTGCTCATGTCAGAATTGATGGAAAGAAAGTATGTTTTTTGGGGGAATGAAGGTTTGCCTCTCTCAGTTAGAAATAGTTTGGGCTGTAGGTATAGGAAAATACAATTCTAATGACTTAAATAAGGATTAATTTTATTTATTTATTTTATTTATTTTATTTTTTAATTTTTTATTGTGGGTTGTTCAAAACATTACAAATTTCTTGACATATCATATTCCACACTTTGATTCAAGTGGGTTATGAACTCCCACCTTCACCCCATACACAGATTGCAGAATCACATCAGTTACACATCCATTGATTTACAAATTGCCATACTAGTGTCTGTTGTGCTCCGCTGCCTTTCCCATCCTCCACCCTCCCCCCTCCCCACCTCTCCCCTCCCCTCCCCTCCTCTCTCTCTACCTCCTCCACTGTATAACCCTGAGGGTCTCCTTCCATTACCATGCAATTTCCCTTCTCTCTCCCTTTCCCTCCCACCTCTCATCCCTGTTAAATGTTAATCTTCTTCTCCTGCTCTTCGTCCCTACTCTGTTCTTAGTTACTCTCCTTATATCAAAGAAGACATTTGGCATTTATTTTTTAGGGATTGGCTAGCTTCACTTAGCATAATCTGCTCTAATGCCATCCATTTCCCTGTAAATTCTATGATTTTGTCATTTTTTAATGCAGAGTAATACTCCATTGTGTATAAATGCCACATTTTTTTTATCCATTCGTCTATTGAAGGGCATCTAGGTTGGTTCCACAGTCTTGCTATTGTGAACTGTGCTGCTATGAACATCGATGTAGCAGTGTCCCTGTAGCATGCTCTTTTTAGGTCTTTAGGGAATAGACCGAGAAGGGGAATAGCTGGGTCAAATGGTGGCTCCATTCCCAGCTTTCCAAGAAATCTCCATACTGCTTTCCAAATTGGCTGCACCAATCTGCAGTCCCACCAGCAATGTACAAGTGTACCCTTTTCCCCACATCCTCGCCAGCACTTGTTGTTGTTTGACTTCCTAATGGCTGCCAATCTTACTGGAGTGAGATGGTATCTTAGGGTGGTTTTGATTTGCATTTCTCTGACTGCTAGAGATGGTGAGCATTTTTTCATGTACTTGTTGATTGACTGTATGTCCTCCTCTAAGAAGTGTCTGTTCAGGTCCTTGGCCCATTTGTTGATTGGGTTGTTTGTTCTCTTATTGTCTAATTTTTTGAGTTCTTTGTATACTCTGGATATTAGGGCTCTATCTGAAGTGTGAGGAGTAAAGATTTGTTCCCAGGGTGTAGGCTCCCTATTTACCTCTCTTATTGTTTCTTTTGCTGAGAAAAAACTTTTTAGTTTGAGTAAGTCCCATTTGTTGATTCTAGTTATTACCTTTTGTGCTATGGGTGTCCTATTGAGGAATTTGGAGCCCGACCCCACCGACTGTAGATCGTAGCCAACTTTTTCTTCTATCAGACGGCACGTCTCTGATTTGATATCAAGCTCCTTGATCCATTTTGAATTCACTTTTGTGCATGGCGAGAGAAAGGGATTCAGTTTCATTTTGTTGCATATGGATTTCCAGTTTTCCCAGCACCATTTGTTGAAGATGCTATCCTTCCTCCATTGCATGCTTTTAGCCCCTTTATCAAATATAAGATAGTTGTAGTTTTGTGGATTGGTTTCTGTGTCCTCTATTCTGTACCATTGGTCCACCCGCCTGTTTTGGTACCAGTACCATGCTGTTTTTGTTACTATTGCTCTGTAGTATAGTTTGAAGTCTGGTATCGCTATACCGCCTGATTCACACTTCCTGCTTAGCATTGTTTTTGCTATTCTGGGTCTTTTATTTTTCCATATGAATTTCATGATTGCTTTCTCTATTTCTACAAGAAATGCCGTTGGGATTTTGATTGGCATTGCATTAAACCTATAGAGAACTTTTGGTAATATCGCCATTTTGATGATGTTAGTTCTGCCTATCCATGAACAGGGTATATTTTTCCATCTTCTAAGATCTTCTTCTATTTCTCTCTTTAGGGTTCTGTAGTTTTCATTGTATAAGTCTTTCACCTCTTTTGTTAGGTTGATTCCCAAGTATTTTATTTTTTTTGAAGATATTTTGAATGGAGTGGTTGTCCTCATTTCCATTTCAGAGGATTTGTCGCTGATATACAGGAATGCCTTTGATTTATGCGTGTTGATTTTATATCCTGCCACTTTGCTGAATTCATTTATTAGCTCTAATAGTTTCTTTGTAGAGCCTTTTGGGTCTGCTAGGTATAGAATCATATCATCTGCAAATAGTGATAATTTAAGTTCTTCTTTTCCTATTTTGATGCCTTTAATTTCTTTCGTCTAATTGCTCTGGCCAGTGTTTCGAGAACTATGTTGAAGAGAAGTGGAGAGAGAGGGCATCCCTGTCTTGCTCCAGATTTTAGAGGGAATGCCTTCAGTTTTTCTCCATTCAGAATGATGCTAGCCTGAGGCTTAGCATAGATTGCTTTTACAATATTGAGGTATGTTCCTGTTATCCCTAGTTTTTCTAGAGTTTTGAACATAAAGGGATGCTGTACTTTGTTGAATGCTTTTTCCGCATCTATCGAGATGATCATATGGTTCTTATTTTTAAGTCTATTGATGTGGTGAATAACATTTATTGATTTCCGTATATTGAACCAGCCTTGCATCCCAGGGATGAATCCTACTTGATCATGGTGTACAATTTTTTTGATATGTTTTTGTATCCGATTCGCCAGAATTTTATTGAGGATTTTTGCATCTAGGTTCATTAGAGATATTGGTCTGTAGTTTTCTTTCTTTGAAGTGAGGATTAATTTTAAATATTGTTTCATTACGAAAAACCTGGAACTTTGGGTTAGTAATTCAGAATGGTTTGGGATGCTTTCATAGAGTCTCTTGACTTTTCCCTCATGGATGCAAATGACAACCAAAGATCCAGGTATTGTGCTTGTTTTCAAGATAGAAAGAAGGGAGATGGAGCCAGCCCTGTGTGTGCCTTTATCAGGAGAGCAAAGGCCTTCCTACAAGCCACTTAGTAAATGACTTTTGCTTCTATTTCATTTATGATAGCCCAGTAGCCATCCCTTACTACACAAGTCCAGGAATATAAGTTTTCAGCAAGTTTTCCTTTGTGAAGGAGAGAAAACAGTTGGGAATGACTGTTGGATTATTTGACTGGAAGGCAACCATATTTTCAAAATCACTTAGTACTTTTGGCATTCTTTTGGAAAGCTCTATGCCTCATATTTTCCAAGTCTCCAGAGGTACTTACTCTGCCGCATACCTGGGTGTAATGAAAACCTCACCAATGTGCTACATGGAGTAAATTAGAAGAGAGGAAAACATATTACCCAGACTCAGTCTTGCCTGAATGCAATTAAATGAGCAGGAAGGTCATATGTTGCTTTCAGAGACATTTTACTCTTCTCAATTGAGCATCATTGGTCTCTTTCAAACATCAACAATTTAATAGCATTCACTTTCTGTGTTTATTACAATATGCTAAGATAACTAATTATAGTGCTAGGTATATGGCATACCAGTGCAGATAGTTGGTAAATTCAAACACTAAATTTTTATATTTATAAACTTTATCTCAATTTAAATATTCATTAAGAGTAATGAAATGTTGGTTCATACTTATGTCAATAAAAGGGAAAGCATAGTTTGAAAAGTTTAAGCCATTATTTATGACTAGAATGTGTGTGTTGCAAATCTGAAATGTTTAGTTAGGAAGAACTGAAGAGTCTCTTAGCCCAAAATGACTCTCCTTAGAATCAGGATCAATCATATGATGATCAAAGGGCCTTCTCATTTTAATTTTCCCTCCCTGTCACTAATGTAGTATTTTTGTCATGAAATAATGTTGAAATGAATCTTGAGGGAGGTGAGTCAAACTAGAAATCCCAAAAGCACATCTTGAAGAGGAGTGAGTTTGTCTTTTTTGATGGGAGAATGGCTGAACAGAGCTGAAATAGGGAAGGGGAAAAGGCTTTTGGTGGATTTGTGCAGTGACTCTCCAGCCTCTTTTTTAGAATAATCTAGTGGATTCTCCTCTGTGTCTGTCAACCAGGCCAACCCGTACTGCCTAGTGCTTTGGGGCTGGCCACATGCGGTTGAAAGGCTCTGTTCAGATTATTAGAAGGAGTGCTTCTGTTATAATCACATCCTTCCCTTTGGTAGAAATTAGATATTACAACCTCTACTAATTACAGGCTGGTGGCTCTGGTGCCCTCCCAGAAGCAAATTGCTTTGAGATAGCAGCTGGAAATTGGGGTTATAAAATAAATCCAGAAGAAGCTTGTCAAGCTTTTCTTGCCCATAAAATGAAAATAAAATATCATATTTGTGAAGTTCCATGGAAAAAAATTGGAAAGATAGCTTAAGTTGCTTAGTAAAGAGAATTTTGCTATCAAAACACCACCATAGCAGCCACTGTTAAAAACAAAAATGCAATCAGGAAAATTACTTGAAATGTTTATGTTTACTTTCAGTCTTCAAATTAAAGTAGAACATCATGTTCCTTTGGGTTGCCATTCAAATTCTCTCTTCCTCTCCTGATTCCTATAAATGCAGTAGCTGATAAATTTCTCTCTTTTGAAGTAGAATGACTCCTCAAAATTTAACATTTTTTTTCTTTTCTGAGAGCTTTCTTGCCTGTATGATGCCCGAAATCACAAACACATCTAGTTCAAGTTCCCGTAAAATAGATGCTTCTTTCTGACTTTAAGACTATCATGTAAAATTTTTGCTGAATATTATTAAGCTATTTTAATTTCCCAATCAAATAGTTACAGACATTAAATCAGAGTTTGACCTCTTTTTAGAGGTTGGCTAGGTCGACTATTTTCCCATCCCAAATAGGAACATTCCCTTTAGCATCTTTGACAAATTCTATTTCAGCTTGGATTTTGGTGACTCAGAGTAGAGTTAAAAAAAATGTGGACAGCTACAAGGTGGAAAGAGCCCTCTCTCCACCTTGCACCTGTCCAGTTATGTCTTCTGGAACATTACTGAATGTCTAGTCCTTGAGCCAAGTCAACGCATCAAATAGTTGAATGTCAACCAACAGGTGAAGATTTAGTGACCCATGCAGATGGGAACAGCTGTTCTCATAGAGGGACAGGCAAGCCTCCACATTGCAGCTAAGTCCAAATTTTGTTCTCATTGTCTTCAGCTTTTCTTTCTGGTTTATCTCTTTTTTTCCTTTTCTTTCTTCCAAATGGCAGAAGCATGATTAAACTCAAAAGGCACAGTAGGGTAAGCAGACTGCACAAGCAAAGAGAAACTGCCTATTTCTCCAACAGGAACTCACAAAATTTTAGTTCTCTGCAACACAAAGCAGATTCTCTACGTTCGTGTGTGTGTGTGTGTGTGTGTGTGTGTGTGTAATTTCTGATCAAATTTTAATCCCACAATTTCCAACCAGAGAATGACTGAAAGGGACAGCAAGAAGAACAATAGTCTGGGAAGGTTATAGAAATCTCAATTCCTGAGAAGGGACCTAACTCTGATGCCTTATTTTCCAAACGAAGGACTCAAGACCAAGAAACTAAGAACCTGGCCAGATACCTGAATCCATTGCGCAGGGTGAGCTTTGCGCCGCCCACAGGGGGCGCTGGTGTTTGCCCATCCGCTGATCCATGCGTGGGCGTGGGCGTGGGCGTGGGCGTGGGCAAGGGCTTGGCAAGCAGCTGCGGTTCGGCGTCGCTGTCCCCTCGGGTTGCGCGGGTCGCGTTCGAGGACATGAGCCACAAGTATGCTGCATTGCGTCGGGCCCAACTCCATCTGGATTTCATCCATGCTAACTCGTGAGTGCCTAGCTGGGGTCAGAGAGGGGTAGGGTCTCCACGCAATGGAGAAAAGTTTTGTCCCCGTCGGAATCAAATACCTGATTGAAAAACCAAAAGAACTTGGTGTGGTTGATTTATGGATTTCTTTATTTATGTTGTATATGTGTTTCTAAAAACATTGAGCAAGTGATAAAGATGTTGATATTCTTCAATTAACACCAAGTGGTAGAAAGGCTTCACACTTACCTTTGAATGAAACTATTTAATTGTTGGTCAGCGGGTCGCTTAATTCTACCAATTCTGCCTGCTCCAGACTGATCCCCACCACGATTGAAAGATTCAAGTGACCTTTCAAACGCAGTAATTTGCATTCATTGATTTCAACCTCTTTGGTCTCCTGAGGTTTCCAGAAACCTCTCTGAAGATAGGAATCTCACTTTTCATTTGTTATTCTGGTACTTTTTCTGCTCTTTCCAGGCCCAGATGCCTTTTTGGGCTCCTTGCCAGGTGTTATTTGGAATACAGTGTTCATGGGAATGCTGTCCCAAGGCCCCCTAGTGGATGCCTGAAATTGGGAATCATATTGAACCGTGATAGATTTACAAATTAGGTACAAAAAGAGATGAACAATCACTAATGATAAAATAGAACAATTTCAGCAACATACTGTAATAAAGGGGGGACCACTCAGTGTTTCATCATGTTGTTCAGAATGGTACACAATTTAAATCATTAATTGTTTATTTCTGGAACTTTCCATTGAATAATTTTGGTTGGAGATTGACCAGTAAAAACTAAAACCACAGAAAGTGAAACCCTGGATAAGGGGAAACTGCTGTGCTCAGATTGTAGAGGCAGGTGACGGAATATTCCATGTCATTTGCCGGTTCTAGTACTGCAAAGTATAGTGATGAGTGCTGTGTAATTCACAGTGGTATGTCAGTGTTTGGGAATCTTTGTGTTTACTAAAAGTAGCAGCTGATAGAATGGATGTATCAAAGTAGAAACCACAGAAATGGAGGAATAAAGAAGGCCAGGGAATGCCAGCCTTGTTATGTGGGACAAACTGTGCAATTTTAAGATAATAGAGTAAATCAAGCAATATCCAGTAATATTTAGTTTTTATATCTCTTTGGAGAATGACTTCTAGCTGGTGATGGTGGAATAAATACTTAAAAGGTGGCTGGAGTAGAAGAAAAATGAAGAAATAGCAGTTCTGAGTGATTTTAAGAAAAACCATAAGTCCAATACTGGAATGACTGTGAACTTTATTTTGGGAAAGTTACTCAGACTCCATTTTGTATCATTTCTGCAGCTATTACTTTCCAGCTTCCCTCTCCCCTGAACCACTCGGTGATAACCACTTCTCCAGCCTCTCTCCTCCTCCTCTTTTTTTTTTTTCTTTTTTTGAGATACTGGGTATTGAACACAGGAGACATAGTCCTGCCACTGAGCTATGTCCCAGCCCTTTATATATATTTTTTTGAACTTTGAGACATGGTCTTGCTAAACTGCCTAGGCTGGCTTTCAACTTGTGATCCTTCTGCCTCAGCCTCCTGAGTTGCTGGAATTGCAGGCATGGACCATGGGCCTCTCCAGCCCCTTTTCAGTTGGTAAATATTAATATTAAAAATAATACCTTTTAAAAAAGACAGCTGCATGAAGCAACAAAAAATCAGGTACAAATTGACATCTTCTTAGCTGTTCAGATAAATGTTGGTTTGAGACTTCCATGCATAAAAGAGAAGTATTTTTAAAAATATCTGCTTTGCTTCACTGGGCATTCAGCCCATCAAGGGTATGCTTTCTCTAAATGTGTCTTACATTCATCCATTTCTCTTTGACTCCACTGCCATTGACCTTAGGGGAATCCACCACCATGTCTTCTAGACCACCCTCCACACAACCTTTTTCTTTCTTTTTTTTTTAAATTTATTTTTTACTTGTAGTTGGATGCAATACCTTTATTTATTTATTTATTTATTTTTATGTGGTGCTGAGGATTGAACCTAGGGCCTTGCACGTGCTACCAGGGCCTTGCATCTTTGCATCTCCTGTTCTTGCTGGAAGGTTTTCACTCTGTCCCTGCAAGAGACCAGGTTCTCATCCTTCAAAGATCAGTTTAAATGTTTTCTATCAAGAGAGGTTTCCCTGGGCACCCTGCCCTCCCCCAGCAATTACTCTGTCCCATTATTGCTGTGAAGAAAGTATTTAACCACCACCTGTGAGGTCATCATTGTGCATTTATTTGTGTGTTTTTCACATACCCCACCACCTTGATCTCCAAGATAGCAAAGACCCTACCTGTACAAATGGTTACAAGGTGGGTAGTTACAAAAACTCTTGAATGAACTAATACAAAAACTCATATGGCATTTTTGGTCATAGTTATTACAATGACTTTCACAAAGGATATGTATATATCGAATTGTTGTGTACTGAATCATTCAGTATACAAATTTTAAATTCACCAGAAGGGCTGTGGCTTAAAGTTCTGATTTTATAAAACATGTCACTTATATTCTCTTTTATAGAGTATAAAATTTTTATACCAGTTGTGTGTGTGTGTGTGTGTGTGTGTGTGTGTGTGAGAGAGAGAGAGAGAGAGAGAGAGAGAGGGAGAAGAACATCTTTTTAAACAAAAGCATTATTTAGTAATTTCTAGATTTTTTAATAAACTTTAAAGCTGACCATACTCAAGTGACCTTTCATTAGTATCTATGTTTAAAGTTTAAAATCCCCCCAAATGAAGACACATGCATGTACACACACACACACACACACAGAGAGAGAGAGAGAGAGAGAGAGAAATGTAATTTTTAAAATAAATTTTAAGTTAAGGTATTGTCTCATGTCCTGAGGTGTGTCTGGAGATTTAGACATTGCAGTTGATGCTTTCTCTTATACAAATGGTAAATGGGTTTCTTGCTTTTGCAACCTGCTTACTAAACATAAAAAGGAAAGTGCAAATATTGAATTTTGAATTTTCCCTTGATGCCCTGATAAGGTTGCTAATTGAAATAGCCACATCAGAAAAGGAAAAGCAAACTTGGAACCACTGAAAGCAACCTGTTCACCCACAGATATCCCTTTAGCCTTCCAAGTGTCATGAGTAGTGCAGGCTGTTTACCATGTTCTTTCACCAAGCAACTGGTACTGAGGGTACAGGAGCAAGGGACTAAAGATAATCCATAAGGTCATTTAAAGAGTAGGCTTTTCATAGGTGGAAAGCTTCTACAGAGATATGGAGATTGGTAGGGTGAACAGCAGCCTCCTGCCAATTTCTTAGCCAACCAATGGAACCCTGTGGCTTTTTAGTAGATTAAGGTCTTGATCAATATTGCTCCTTATTTATTTGGTATTAAGTAATACAATTTCAATGAAACTTCTTTAGAAATAGTACTTGAATATGTACTTGTAAAGAAAGTTTAAAACATGAAAGTTTGTTCCTGCAACAGTAAGATCCTCAATAGTCTTCATTATATTAGAAGTAAACAAGATATTTTGCAAATGAGTTCTTGCCTTGGCTTTATAATATAGTATGTCCTTCAGAATCTTGGCCATGCTAAACACACTATTTCTGGAAAAAATTCAACATTGATTGTCTAGAACTGGGGAACATTTGTGTGTTGAGTGTCTTAAAGCATTTGCCCTGATTTAACTTCCTGTTTTCCCTTTCTCTCTTCTCATCAGCACAACCCACAGTTTCCTTTTTGGAGCTCTGGCTGAATTGCTGGACAATGCCAGGTAGGTTTACCTGTGAACAAAGGCTGTTGTTGGAATTCCATGACATAAATCTAGTCCAGTTATCTTTGAAGATAAAGATATACTGTCATTTCCCCCCATTTAGAATGTTTTGCTCGATTTCTGTTTTAGTCAGCTTTTTTTTTTGCTGCTGTGACTGAGGAACCCCACCAGAACAATAGTAGAGGAGTAAAGGTTTATTTAGAGGCTCGCAATTTCAGAGGTCAATCCATAGCAGCAGGCTCCACTACTCATAGATCAAGGTGAGGAAGGATATCATGGCAGAAGACTCACATGATGATCAGAAAGCACAGAGACTCCACTCTCCAAATATAAAATGTATACCCCATAGCCATGCCTCCAATGAACCACTTCCTCCAACCACACCCCATCTGCCTTCAGTTATCACTCAGTTAATCCCTATCAAGGGATTAATTCACTGATTGGATTAAGACTCTCACAACCCAATCATTTCTCCTCTGAACCTTCTTGCATTGTCTCACATGTGAACTTTTGGGGGACACTTCACATAAACAACCATAACAATTTCCAGCATAATCAAAATACTATGGGAAAAAGAACAGATGAAAGAAGGAATTAGTCACCTTTGTTTAATTTGCCTTTATGATTAAACTTGAAATGAAGGCAAACTGGACTTCTGCATTAGTGTTGATAGCCATGTAATAGCAGACATTTGGATGTTTCTTCAGTTACAGATCAGTGTACACTTTGTCTTGAGAAATGACATTTGGGTTTGAGCCTTTATTGAAGTCTGCCTTGAGGTGAATTGTGTGGTTAGTCAGAAAACAGCTAACTGTTCTCTTCTACCTTTGTGAGTGACATGCGCAGTGTTCACTCATTCATCCTATGACATCACCCTGAGGGGGGAATCATTACCCTGGTTTTACATATGTGGAAATCTGTGCATAGAGAAGTTAGATGATTTATTCAAAGTTCTATAATTACTCTTTGGCAGAGATAGAGTTCAGATTTGTACCATTTGGCTACAGAACCCCAGTACCCTATTTCACTGTCTCTGACAAAGGAATGGAGGTTTAAAGAACCTCTTTAATCATTTTAGTTCCACTCAATAATATATGTGTGGAGAATTGGGAGGGACTCAGTTTTCTAGCTAAACTGAATACGGCCTTTGATGGTTTTTATACTTGTACTTCACTGTTGCACAGATTTTTTTTGTCCCTTCTCTGCAGAAAGCAAAGTCTATCTAGAAAATAATGTGCCGTTGTTAGATCAGAGATCCCAGTAGGGGGACTTAAATTTCCTGCCACTGGTTTATAGGATATGTTAGCTTTTCGTGTTTATCTTCCATTTTTGACCTTCAAAGAAATGACCTTTCTGACAGGGTGTGGTCAGTTAACCAGCCATCCACGAATTTCTACCCAGCACTGTGCCCATTGCTAGGTAAAAAATTACTAGTTCCTCCTTTTATGAAACACTCTGTAGGGATAATGCAATCACAAAAAGGGAGGGAAAAAGGAGAAAAAGCATAAAGTTGATTGGTCAGGGAGTCATGAACCCAAGCAAATTAGAAGGAGCTCACAGGGAAAGGGCCTGGGCAGATGAACACTCATGGTTAGTTTCTTTGTGGGAGATAAGACTGGCTGCTGTTGTTTCTGAAGCAAGGCTTTCCTACCTTTCCTTTGAGGACAAGTTGCTGAAAAGTGCTCCTTTTCAGCAACTTGTTCTCAAAGAGCACATTTGTCCATAGCGCCATCTGTCTTTTCTCCTCTGAAGTTGTTTCGTTCATTCATTCATTCTACAAGGCACAGGAAATCAGCACGTAGCAGATGTAGAACAATGGGAACACTTTACGTGATTGAGGGTGATTGGGTGACTGGGGAAGAAAGATTAACTTTGGACTTGAAGGAAGGAGAGAAATGTGATCAATAAAGCAATTCTTAGAGCAGCATTTGTAAACTGGCAGCCCCTTGACCAGGTCTAGCTTGTCTCATGTTTGTTTGTCTCATAGTGAAAGTTTACACAGTGTTCAGAAACAAAAGGAAGAGAAAAGGTAATTGTAAGGTTTAAGACACAAGAGGCACCACATACAAAATCGGGTCCCCTATTTTTCCTGAAAGATGAGAAGGAGAAGCATCCTTGAGAGTACACTCCTCTGGGATCAGGGCTGGAGGGGGAGCTGGGGCTTTGGTGGGACCAGCCTGTGCCTTCAGGTATGTCTCATGACCAGTGTTACCCCAACAGCTTGAACCTCTCAGTTCTTCTGTCTTCCATGGATACCTCAGTTCTCTGCCACTGCTTAGATGCTAGTATTTGACAGCAAATGAAACTATTTTGCAGACTTATTCAAGATGCTCAGTTGGTCTTATGTGTTATTTTAAGAATTTTCAAATATTATTGTATTCAAAATTTTGGTGATACCCTGTAGTTGTGAAAATTATAACTGAAAGATATTAAAAAATATTGCAGAGAGAGGAGAAAAATGTGATGGTATAGGAATGGATGATTAGGGTCCTCCTCCTAATACCTCAGCTATTCAAAAAGCAAGTATCTAGGGCTGAAACACAAAGGTCATTATAAAGTGTCTTAATATGATAAAAAGGTGAGTCCTTATGTTATGCCTCAACTGTAAAAAGAAACTATTTCTTTATAAACTTTCTTTTCAGTATATTGGCATTTACTGAGCACATACTATACAATGTGGTACTTTGTACAAAGCATAATTACATAATAGAGATATTGATACATACATGTCATGGGATTGTGGTAAGGATTAGAAGAGAATTTTCAAAAAGACTTCATTTAGTGTTTAGTTGATACATGAAATGCTCCAGAAATGGCAGTGGTAGCTCTAGAACTTCTGTGTAAGGAGGACTTAGAAGCATCAATTGACTAGAGGAACGAATTATAAAGAACTAACTTCTAGGGTCATAGGGCAAATACAGTGTTACTACTCAAATTTGTTTGGGATAGTTTTAGCTTGGGACTAAAGGAAATTTGGGGCAAGACTCCAGTTTCCCCATCAGAGTTGCACTCATTATCTTACCGAGCTTCCCTTTCTAAAAGGATCTATCATCCTTCCCTTCCATACTTTCTTCCTCATTAGCTATACCTCCTTTTTCTCATACCTATGAAACATATCATGAAAATCATTCTATGACTTCTGGATCATTCTTTGGCCAGTTTTTTTAAAAATACAAAATTCATGTTCATTCTAATGAGCTTTTTTGTGTAACTACCACTAGATTCCATCTCTTTTTAAAAATTTCTGAGTTTTAGCTTTTGTAATATTCTCAAATCATCAGTGATGATAGTTGTTAGTATATAAATGCACAGTGAAACATTATAGTAATTGATTTTGAAGCAATTTAAGTGGCTTTTTGTATTGTTTGATATCTGACAGTAGGTTATACCTCACATAAGCAAGTTAGATTAATGTAATTTTTTAAACATAATTTCAATTGAAGCTGTGATATTTTTATATTGTTTTCAGAGATTCAGGGGCTGCAAGACTTGATGTGTTTTCAGGTGAGTAGACTTCCTTTCTTCTTTTTCCTTCTTTTTCTAAGGGAAATTCTTGTAGCTATTTTGCATGTATTTTATTTCATGGAATCAAGTCACATTCTATAGATTTTAATGTAATCTAAGTGCTTTGTGAACGTAGGAACCCTATGGGGAGCCAGGTCGGGAAAAGTACACCCTAAGAGTCAAATTGTTCTTTTATTAGAAGACCCATTTACAAAATTAGGCCTTCCAGAGTTTTGTGAAAGAACCAGAGTGGTTTGGAGCTGTAGATTTGTTTGCTGTGAGAAACAGTTTTCTTATAAAAAGCAGATTAACTTAATGGTTATTCATAATTAAGCAAACATTATTTTAAACTTATCATAGTTTTAAAATGCACAAGTGAATGTGCAGTATGAATATTTTAGTGCTGCAAAATTCAAACCAAATGTTTTCTTCATTGACTTCATTTTGTAGTTCCAAGTTTTTATTGCACTTATTAGTTAATCTCATTTAATATGATGCCAGTGACAGTAGGTTCTGCAATCCTGCCCTGTATATACTCAGTGCCACCCAGAAAATTGCCCCTAATGCTAACACCGCTTCTCTACCCTGATTCTGTCAGCTGCTCTGTTATATTGGTAATTGATCACAAGTGAGAGGATATTGTCCATGATGTTAATCCATGTCGGCACTGAAAAAGCAACTCAGTTCTGTTCGCTTTTCTGTGCATTTAGGATTCTGAGCCAGATGAGTGCCATGGTTCATGAAGGAGATAGATGTGGATGTCTTGAGGTATCTGAGGAAACAATAAATGACACTCTTTTCCTCCTTCTACTCTCCAAGTCCTGAAAAGTTTGAGAAATAAATGCAAGAATCATCCTCTGTCGCTGATAGATGTTAGGTTGGAGCGTCTAGCTTTCATGACAGAGTGAAGGTCCCAGGATGGGGCTGCTCACAGCTGTGGAATCAGCTTCCACCCCAGACTGGTCCACTCTGGGATGAAGGGAGCAGACTTCAGGCTGTCTGTAGGCAGCTCTCTCCCAAGAGGAAAAGGGGTTTGAATTGAGCCTCACCAGGGGTTCTTCCCTCAGGGACCAATAAAAGGAGGGAGCCTATATTGACAAGGGAAAATGAGTCAAAGAAAGAGTGGGGCTCCTTCATGGAGGAAAACTAGCCTTCCCTTTCATATTCAGTTACAGATGCTCTTTGACTTCCAGTGGAAACCCACTGTAAGTTGAAAATACCATGAGTTAAAAATGCATTTAATACATCCAAGCTACTGAACACCAAAGCTTAGTCACACAGGATTCTGTAGAGTATTGATTTGTTTTAATCCTGAAATTGTGTGGCTGACTAGAGACTGTGGCTTCTTGCTGCTACCCAGTATTGGGATATAATATTCCAGGATCATTGCTAGCCCAAGAAAAGATAAAAATTTAAAGTTTAAAGTATAATTTCTACTTTGTTTGTATCATAGAGTCAAAAAAGTTTTAAGTTAGAAACCATCATAAGTTAGGGAACTTCTGTGTATAGCGTAATATAAATGTCTCCTATCTGGGAAAGAATCAGAGTATGGTGGAAACCGAAAGAAGACATTAAGTTCATATTATGGATCTAGAGCTTGAAATATGGAGGTGATTTTTCTCAAATAATCTAGAAAAATATTCTTGTCTGAAGAATTATTTTGAGAAAAAGAATGGAGGTAGAGTAGTTGAGGGATTTATTCATTTATTCAATGACAATTTATTGAGTGTCTGTTACTGTAGGTGCTGGGGATAGAGTATTGAGCAAAATGTTCTGTGCTCTCATGGAACAGGCATTCTATTGGGGGAGAGATGGACAATAAAGAAATGAACAAATAAATCATATTCCAGCAATAAGAAGTATTAAAAGGGAAATAACAAGAGCAGATTTGGACAATAGAGAGTGATGGGAAGATTGTAGTTTTACACAGGGGGCGGTTCCCTTAATAGGTGAAATACCATTGAAGACCTGCGTGATGTGGGAGTGAGGCATGGAGATAAGTGGAGAAAAAGCATTCAGGAAAGAGTGACTAGGCTCCTTGGCTAGAGCTAAGGGTCAGAGGCAATTGGATGAGTGTCTTGAATATTCTGCACAGTGTCATTACCCTAAGTAGACATGTCCTCTTTTTCTCTTTTTAAAGAAAGATACTCCAGTAATAGCATAGAAAGTATTCTGAGGAAATATGAAAGCAGGGATCACAGGGAGTGTGGCTATGAAAATTAAGCAAGATTTCATGAAAATTTGAATTAGGGCAAGGGTCCTGGAAATTTGAGAATAGAGACGAATGTAAGCGACACTTCATTCAGAGAATGTGCAGTATTGGCAAGGGCCAAGAAGACATCCAGAATCACAAAGTACTACAAATTTCATTAGAATGCACATGCTACACTCTGGGTGTGTGACAGGACTCCAGGAGGGGATGGGAGTGCTGATTTCACTGCTCAGTATTATCATATGCAAACAAAATAGGATCTAGGCTGATTAAAAATGGAGGTGGTACTCGTTCTTTCTTTAGGTTATACGTATTTTGTGAAAAACCGAATTTATCATTTTCAGTTTTAAATTACCTATTCATATTGTAACATTTTTTATTGCAGAAAACCATCATTCATATCACTTTCAACCTAGTAAAATTGATTTTTTTAAAGCGAGGGCCAGTGCTTAATACTCATAAATAGAATTGTTCTGGGTATGCATAGTTAATCTAAGATTGGACTAATTTTCAAATGATTTACTGAGGCCTTGAATTACTCCCCAGTTGGTTTCCTTCAAGTAATTTGAGGTCTATAAAATTCAAACTAAATATGTTTCACTGTGGTGTTTAAATGCCTCTGTACATCAATTCTAGTAAAGATGGATATGCATTGAATAGATTTTTTTTCAGTGCTCACCAAGTGCCAGGCACTAAGCTAAGTACTGAGTATACACAGTGCTCACTTTTAAGAAGTTGACATCCCTGTGCAGGGGTCCATGGAAAATGTATTATATATCTACATGGGTGGAGGATGCATAGATTTTGTCTATCTCTGGGGTAACTGTGATCCTCGAAACTAAAGGAACCATTGATCTGGAAGAGAAGTAAAGACCTATGAAAGTGGGAAAACACAAGTTAGGAAGAGAACATTCATTCTGGGCACACAGTGACATTGCAAGATTAAGAAACCTTTCTAGGGGTTGGGGATATAGCTCAGTTGGCAGAGTGCTTGCCTGGCATGTGCAAAGCCCTGGGTTCTATCCCTAGCACCACACACACACGCGCACACAAAAGTAATCTTCCTAGGAGAAGTCTTCTATGAACCAGTCCACAGGGACAGTAGACGTCCACCTGTGAAGAAGGCATGGGAAAGATGGGTGCAGTGCCTGTGACGCCTTGACTCTTAGGAGAACTGTGAAAACCTGCGATGTTCAGGATTAGTTCGAGGGAAGTGTTTGTGTGCAACAGGAGGGTGGCAGCATTGGCTGGTCAGGAATGACAGGAGATGGGCCTGGAGAGGTGAGAGGGCCAGATCATAAGGGGCAAGCATTTGCTAAGTGGTTTGTGTTTTATCCTGAGAGCAACAGGAAGCCATAGAAGGTGTTGGCAGGAGAGTGGCAAAATGCACAGATCACTGCAAACAGGCTGCACCCTTTGATTTAGGGATAGAAGTTAGGGAACAGTTTTCATAATCCAGAAAAAAAATGATGTCTTCCTAAACCAAAGCAGAGTACTGGGGATAGAGAAAGTGGTCAAATCAGAGAGGTGGGGGTCTACTGGGAGATAGTTAGGTCCTTTGAACCACTGCCCTTGGGAGGGACTAATGCTGGGCTCATAGAGCAAGTGAATTCTCACATAAGTGGGTTGTTATAAAAGACTGAGGGGCTTGGGTTGTAGCTCAGTTGTAGAGTGCTTGCCTAGCACGTGTGAGGCACTGGGTTTGATCCTCAGCAACATAAAAATAAATAAATAAAATAAAGGTATTGTGTCCATCTACAACTAATATATATATATATATATATATATATATATATATATATATCTTTTTAAATAAATAAATAAATAAAATTGAGTCTGACCCCTAGGTCTCTGGCTTCCTGTTTTTCCATGTGATCACTCTAGCATGTGCTCCCACATGCCTTTTGCCAATGTGACACCATTTACCATGAACCCATCACCAGAGCTGAAGTCCATGGAGGTCTCAAACCTCCAGAATTGTGAGATAAACCTCTTTTCTTCATAAATTATCCAGCCTCAAGTATTTTGCGATAGCAACAGAGAATGGGCTAACACACTTATAAGATATGTCTTTTAGGTATTTATTCATAGGCTATTTTAAACATGATTTAATTTTTAAACGTGAGTGAATGAATTCTAGTTAACCTTTGAACAGAAAGATTTGCTTAAATGTATTAGAAAGTACTCCATGGAGACAAAGCAGATTATGGATTGCCTAGGCGTGAGACAAGAGTGAGGGGCCATGAAAGCAGAAGAACGGAGGGAGTACTGAGGGCGAGGAGGAAACATTTGGGGTGATGACTATGTTCATTGCCTTGATTGTGATGATGGGTTACTGATTTGTCAAAATTTATCAAATTATGTACTTTAAACATACACAGTTTATTGGCAAAAATTATTTCTTAATAACAGTTATCAAAAAAGGAATGTTCTTGAACTCATATATCCAGCTGTTTGAAATTATCTTCAGAGTCAGTTTACAAACTGTGCACTGAAATTATTCTCATTAGTTTTAGTTCCCTCTTTAACATTTTTAAAGCCAGAGATTATATTATGTAATTTAATGGTGTCTTTTAATTATCAAAACTGATTTCAGATAACTTAGCCATTTTCAAAAACCCAAATGCATTTTCAAGAGGCAAATATTTGCTGCCACAAAGAAACACTCACAAAAGACTCTTTTGGGAATTAACTACTTAGAAGGGAGCCTGATGAATTTAATAAGAATGTCCTAGATTTATTTTAGAATCAGTGCTTTGGTGGAAAGGCATAAAGGTCGATCAGTTTGACAGAGGGATCCTGGGGTCACATTGCCATCTCCCTTTTTCCTTCCCCTTGGGAAGAAATACCTGAAGTTGAAGGGATTGGTCCAATTCCAGAGCAGGGCATGTCCTGCTGCACACATAATTCCTTAACATGTAGATGTTTTATGTTAATGTAAAGCCTTTGTTGCATGGTTGTTCTTCCCCTGCAGTTTCTTATGAAGCTGTAGCCAGGACTCCATTCTGAGCTTCGTCATTGTGCCATAACTCTGTCATTCTCTGGCTGCAATTGAGAAGGACGAATAATTATGCGAGCAGCATGACTTTCTGACGAACCAATTAAGCCCAATATTTATTAGTAATAACTCCTTTCTCTTACAGTGGATAATGAAAAACTGCAGGGTGGATTCATGTTATGCTTCCTGGATGATGGATGTGGCATGAGCCCTGGTAAGTTAATTATCTAGACACCTAACTGGCTGTTAAAGGGAACAGCCTGAAAACCCATAAAATAAATAAAAATAAATTGAGCTCTCTATTGAAAAACAGGTATGGATCTATTAGGGAAAATAAAGCCCAGACTTATTGTCAAAGTTTTCAGGTTTAAATATTCCAGCTGGCAGAGTAAATTCATTACAATCATCGAAATCAAGATAAAAAAGTGAAAGTAAATAAATTTTGTCAGAAAAATGAAAGACAAATGGTACTGATTGCAAGACAAAGTATCTTACCTCTAGTATCTGAATGGGCTTTAAGATTGTTTTAGTCCATTCTTTTAGCTATTGTTTACAAGAGCCCCAAGGCAGTTTCCAGTGCCTTTAGGCTATTTTAAATTTTCCCTGTAACCCTGAAGAAAAGGTCACTTCTCCTTGTCTTTAGTAGTTTGCATGGATTTTTTTTTCCTCTGAATGTTCAAAGGTTTAGTTGTTTCAGATAAATTTTCTCATCATAACAAAGACATCTACAATATATTGCATGACTTATCCTTAGATATTTAAAGCTACCACAAAGCCAGCACATAGTAGGTGTGTTCAAATGCTGTGTTGTTGAAAAGTTACTCCCTCTAATAAAAGCTTTGCATAGTTTTAGTATTCATATTCCTGAATTCTTATAATACTTTGTGTATCACAAGCTACAGTCTTGGCTACTATGCTTAAAAAATGCTGAGAGAGTTGAGATATATTATGGAAATGTCCTGGTTGGCTGCACATCTGAGGAAAGTGTGATAATCAATGCTGATATAAGCTGAGAATACGAAGTAGAGCTAATTACCTTCTTCCAAATCTGAAGTCTCCCCTTGGTCTGAATAGTCAAAGAATATTTATTAGCAAGCTTAGAAAATGCTCAACTGTCCCACCCATTTCTTGTTCTGACTTTGTTGGAATAATTTTGATGATCTCAGTTCATTTTGGTTAAAGTATTATTGATTCCCCAGTGTTTAAATAAGAGAAGATTAAGAGGCTGTAAGAAAACCATGCTGAAAATGTCTTATTTTTCACTACTAGCCTGAATGCTAAGTGTGTTTTCCTGAATTCTTAAAATAAATGACAGAATATATGTGAAATGGTCTAAAGGAATGCCTTACAAAAAGAAGCAGTTTTAAAATATGGGTCATGAAGAAATCATTAAAGCACAAACAAATTTTCAGACCTTCAGAAGGAACTCATACCTCAGTAGACATACAGATGGTCCCTGTCTTAGGGCCATTTTTTGACTTTACCATGGTACTGTAGGGATATGCATTTAGTAGGAACTGAACTTTGAATTTGTGTCTTTTCTTAGATTAGCAGAGTACAACTGTTAGGTTGTACTAGAGTACTCTTTAGTGATGCTGGTCTATGGTAGGTAGCCTGAGCCCCAAGTCAGCCTCATGATTGTAAGGGGAAAGTAGCACGGTCCAACATGTACTGTGTAGCTGAGGTATTGATAGTGTTAGGAGTATTAAATGAATTATCTACTTTTTATACTTTCAATTTATTATGGATTTAGCAGGGATGGATTTAACCTCATTGGAAATTGAGGAGCATATTCATGTAGTAGGACAAGCAGAGTATTATTGAGAAAGCACTTCTTAATGAATATTGGAAATCAAGTATTAAGTTTAAAGGAAGAGTTTATCTTAGGTGACTGAATATAGAACTTACCAGTTGTTCAAACAGAGCTTGACCCATAGAAGATGACTACAGAAATTTTCAAATTTTGGTTTCTTATTTTCCTCCTGTGTTTCCCATCATGGTCTGTTCCCTATACATCAACCTTTCTTTTTTTTTTTTTTTTTATACCTTTTTATTTATTTATTTTTATGTGGTGCTGAGGATTGAACCCAGGGCCTTGTACATGCTAGGCTTGTGCTGTACCACTGAGCCACAACCTCAGCCCTCAACCTTTCTTTAAATATTATATATTTATCCTGTTGAATCAGTGATTTTTCCATTGCATAAGAATAAAATTCAGTAACACTCTCCAGATTAACTTCTGAGATCTTGCTTATTTGGCTCTGCCCACCTTCCTGGCCTTTTCTAGTTCTGCTCATTTCCAAGCTCTGATTACACTCCAGCCATTCCTGGTTGGACCCTCATCATTTGAATCTCTCCCCAGATGTTAACCTTCTGAAAGTGGCCTTACCCCTGAAGACCATACCCCTGTTAAATTTTTAACACATTTTCCTGGTTTTGTTACCTTCACTTAATCCTCTCAAAAATTATCTTATTTTCTATGTATTTCCATTTCTTTCTCCTACAATGACACAATGCAAATCATAATATCTTCCTTGTAGATTTATTATAAATATTAAATAGGAACAATGAATGTCAATCAATCAATAACAAACAATCAATCAATAAGTGGCTAACATTGTTATCATGGATTCCTTCCTCATAAGGCTCATCCCTGTATGAGAACATAGGATCAAATGTCCAGCACACACCACCTACCAATTGCCCCTGAACTATAAACATGTCTGTACCTGACACAGGGTCCTCAAGACAATTCTAAAACATGTATCCAGGTAGGCTAACAAGAATATTCTTGGTTCTAGAGATCAGAGTATTCTGAAATCCAGAAGATTCCTCTCTAGAACTTAGGAACTTCTGGGAGAGATCAGGAGAATGACTCTAAAGGTCTGAGATGGTTAGCCATTTTCCCCTACCTAGGTGGTGTCGAAGCAGAAGCCATTCTGTCCCTAGTCTCACCTGGGCCTGGATAAGGGCCAAATTTATGACGAAATTATTAGTAGTACAAATAATTATAACACTTATAATCTCTTAACGCTTATCAAGTGCCAAGTTGTGTGCCCAGAGTTTCACAGATACGTCTTCTTATTTAAGTGTTTTCTTCATCTTCATCAATAACTGTGATAGAAGTGCTAGCATTTCTATCGCTTTTTTAAAAATATTTTTTAGCTATTGATGGACCTTTATTTTATTTATTTGTGTGTGGTGCCAAGAATCGAACCCAGTATCTCACACATGCTAGGCAAGCGTTCTACCATTGAGCCACAACCCCAGCCCCAGCAGTTCTCTTTTAAAAACAAGGAAATCAAGGCTCAGAGTTTTAAACTCTACCCCTACCTGGTGAGGTCACAGGGTATGGTCTATCTGACCTCCTTCATTATAACTGCTTTAAGATCCTGAAGTATGAGATTTACAGTAGATACATCAGTTTAAAAGAGGCTTATATAAAATTAACATAAATTAATCCCAGAAACCCAAACCAAACTTTTTCCATTCCAGTATATTGTTATTGTAATTCTGATATTTTCATAGCACTATAGCATCCATGGAAATTCTTCAATTCAATCACTATAGATATTTGAGGATAAATGTTCAAGATTATTTTCACATTTTTATTATTATGACTAATAAGACAGTGAACAATCTCATACAGCTATCCATCTCTTTACCTGTGTGAGAATTTTCATGGGATTCATATCTAGAAACAGACTTGCTTTGTCAAATTAAACTTGGGCTTTGAAAACTGAAAAAAAAAAAAAAAGATCCTTCTCAGAGATTATGGGTCCTGACATGAATCTTCGTCTTTGGGCTGCCCAAGAGCTGTGGACTTGTCCCACAGTCCTGTGGTCCATGTGGAGTCCTGACAACTGGGCCTTAGGCTAGTGTCGAAGTCTGTTCCTAAGCACCTTAAAAGATAGTCTTTTGTCAATTACAGAGGAAGCTTCAGACATCATTTACTTTGGCACATCCAAGAAACGGTTATCAACCTTGAAGTTCATTGGACAATATGGCAATGGTCTTAAAAGGTGAGAATTTCCCCCCTTAGGGCATGTGTTATTCATACTGGAAACACAGAATGTTGCAAACCTGTACAGCTTTTAAAAAAGAGCATAAATCCTGGGAGGGAGTCTTGTTTTGGAATCTCCAAAACTGACTAGGATCTTTAAAGCATTTAAAAAACTAATTCTCAGATATATTAAGATGAGTCTTCTTGCAGGCACTTCCTGAAGCAGTAACTTTGGAGTTTTATGTTCTATTATTTCTCAACATTCATTTTAGCCAATGTGTTGTGTGTCAGCTTTTTCTTACTTTGCTTCAGTGAGAGGTGAGGACATGGTGCTTACCTGAGTGGTTCCTGCTTCTGGGTTGATCTTTGAACCTTGGATGGAACATTATCCCAGTAGCCATGTCTCAAACATGAGTTGGGGCTGCATCCATTCAAATTCATTGTCTCTGTTTTGAGAAATAATACTTGTGCTCTCTTGGTGATGGGTCAGTAAGACCAGTTGCTAAAAAGAACAAACCCATGCCCACTTGTTTCTTCTTGGTTTAGTGTTTGAGATATAAATCATTATGTTATTTATCTTTGATACAGTGGGTCCATGAGAATTGGAAAAGACTTTATTCTTTTTACGAAGAAGGAAGAAACGATGACCTGTGTGTTTTTCTCTCAGACATTTTGTGAAGGAGAAGGTCTTAGTGAGGTAAGATTTGAGGATTTCCTTCCATTCCCATGGCAATAATGCTGTTTTCATTTATCCTCTCAGGAGGTGAAGTCTGTTATGACTGAAGGTGCCTGTGCACTCTTGGGGGGTCACTGGAAGCCATTGCTGAGATTCCAGGTCACAGTCTCACACATGCTAGGCAAGTGCTCTACTTCTGAGCAGCATCTCTAGCCCCTGGAAGTCTTTCTTAAGAACTTTATTTTCATTCTCCTTATGTCCAGATCTCCCAAAATAGAGGCTTCCTTGCATATAAGGAGCTTTCTAGAAGAAGCCTGCAAAATCTTTCTACTGTTTGTGGCATAAATGTATTATTGCTTTTAAAATAAATAAAATATTAGGGGCAAAGACTTAGAAAACAAAATGTAAAAAAAAAAAAAATGAATGCAAAATAGACTTAAAACCATAATTCTTGTGACCATACTTTTAACTTAGCATTTGCTGACCCAGAAACATTTTATTAATGTCAGTTATGATTCAGTACAACAAATGGGTGCTGGGGAGCGGCTGTGTGCTCAGCACTGGACAGACTGTGATGGGCAGAAAACTAGCTAAAGACCAAGTGACCATCAAAAAGCTTTCAGTCTTGTTGGGAAATAAGGTAGACACGTGATTGGACAAATGACAAATGAGGCTATATAAAAACAATGTTGTTGAAATAGTGCGTGTGAGTGTTGTTATGGAAATTGTCCAAAACTGTAATAAAGAGGGAGGATGAGAGAGCTTTGAGTGGTCAGTGAGTGTTCTATGGAGAGAGCATGGCTCGAAGCTGGACAGGCTGGTGTATGGAAAAAAATGGCCCACAGCCAGTCTTGGGCTTGTAGATGCACTGGAAAGCCAGGTGGAGGTGTGAGCCTGTCTTAGGGTGGGGTGGGGCTTGACAACACGGGTGAGGGGCAGCTGTAAGGGGTGGCTGAAGGGAGCCTGACAGCAGGAAAAGAGGTGCTGTCAGTGGTTATGTTGAACCTTGTACCTGTGAAGAGCCTGGGGTTTGGGCTAAAGCTGAGGTCATAGCTCCCCAAATGGGGCATTTCCCTATTTATTTATTTGTTTATTTTTCATTTTTTAATTGATTTTATTTTTTTAAATACATGACAACAGTGGAATGCATTACAATCCTTATTACACATATAGAGCACAATTTTTCATAAAAATAACTCTTAAAAACACTCACCACTTTCGCATCCACAGAAGCAACTTCTTCCAACCGTATTAAATGATTTCGTTGAGATTTACCTGTGTGTCTCTAAGGAGCATGCTTGCACTTGAATTTATTTAGGTGTTCTCCACTAACCTCCTACTATGAAGGGGATTTAAACCTATCTACCTTCTCTTCTGTGCTCCTGTCACCCCTGGACTTCCAGCCCTCCACCTCACTAGCGCTCTCCTAACTTTGGTTATGCCAGTGCTCAGTGTGTCCATTTTAGACTGTGTATACACTATTCACAGGAGCTCATGTCATAAACTGTTCTGTTTTTCCTCATGTGTACAACTTTTTATTTCTCTAGAATGACTGACTGCTTTCTTTTCTGGACACTCACCACTGTCGCTGAAAACTGCCCTGCTTCTCTGTTACACGGCATGGTTAATCCTGGTCTAGCTCGCTCTCCTCAGCTCCAGCTTCCTGATGCACTCTGTTCAGAGCCCTGTCATGTGCTGCAGCTCCCACTCCTGCTCTCCATGGCCGGAGGTCAGCAGGCATCCTAGGATCTGCCCTTGCAGTGGTCCTGGGTGTCAGATCTCTTCTCTGTCAGATCCCAGATCCTAAATCTCATGTCTTCTTTCACAACTTGTATAACATAGTCTGTCATTTTATCTTGGGATGCGAAGCAAGATCTTCTTAGACCACCACACATTAGAATGCTGTTATTCTTCCCCAACACTCAGTTATAGTTTGGGTTGTTATCATCTTTGAGCTGAAATTCATTTTCCTTCAAGATTTTATCTTTATACCTTTTCATTTAGTACCAGTGATTGAACCCTGGGGCGCTTAACCACTGAGCCACGTCGCCAGCTCATTTTTATTTTTTATTTTGAGACAGACTCTCACTGAGTTGCTTAGGGCCTCACTAAGTTACTAGCTTTGAACTCATGATCCTCCCGCATCAGCCTCTTGAGACGCTGGGTTACAGGCGTGTACCACTGTTCCTTCAAAATTTACTGAGAAAACTGAAGCCATTGAATTTTATTCCTTAATCTCTACTTTTTGAAGGTCAAAAGCAACTTTGTCCCCAGTGTTCTGAATTCAGAATTTTACCTGTCTGATCTATTTATATCCATTGTCCTTGGCACATACAGAATCTTTTCAATCTGGAAATCATATCCTTGCAATTCTGGGGTAACCTGCTGTAACACTGATGAATTTCTCTTCTTCTTCTCTCCCTCCCTCCCTCCTTTCCTCCCTCCCTTCCTTCCTTTTTATATCTTTCTCACCCATTTCCCTCCCCCTCTCTCCCTCTTTCAGGACTGAGGCCAGGAGTGCTCTATCACTAAATTACATCCCCAGACATTTTAAATTTTTAATTTGAGACAGGGTCTTGTTAAGTTGCCCAGGCTGGACTTGAACTTATGATCCTTTTGCATCGGTCTCCCAAGTAGTTGTGATTATAGTTGTGTGCCGCTGTGCCCTGCAACACTGATGATTGTCTTTCATCCATATTTTCTTTACTCTCCTTTTGCCACTGTTTTTAGCTCTTGGACTTCTATAAGTGGTTCTTTGATTTTCTTATTTTTCTCTTCTATTTTCTGTCTTTCATAGTTTTGTTTTCTGGGAGATTTTTAAACATTTATTTTCCAATTCTTTCATAAATTTCTTTTATAATTATATTTTTAATTTCTAAAAGGTCTTTTTTTATTCTCTCAATAATCTTTTTTCCAAAGATATCTGGTTCTTATTTCATGGATACAGTATTTTTCTTATAGCACTGAAGATTTTAATAATGTTTTTTTTTTTTTTTTAATCAAAATTGTCGTCCTCCTCTTATGGTTTCTATTTCCACTGAGATGCTTAGTTTTTATTTGTTGACCTGGTTTCTGTTTATCATATTAGAGGCTTTTCTTAGATGGCTGTTATTCCTAAACATTTAAAAAAGTAGTCCAACAAAATGCTGATTGAGCTGGGCGTGGGAGTTTCAATGATATGATCTAAACAGGTTGTTTTATTGGGGGATTCTTGTTGTCATTTTCTTTAGGGCTTTCCTTCTGAGCTGGTCCGATTTCTAAGAGAAGACTCTTGCAGTCTTCTGCCTGGAGGCTTAGCTGCCAGCCTTCTGGGGGCAGATGAGACGAGATGCTGAGGTTTTTGGCATCCAGCATGTACACTTTGACTCAGTCCCTTACATCTCAATAGGCTTCCCCTAACAACTCTGTGTCTTCTCATCCATAAACACATTGTTCCAGTCTTCAGAGAGTGAGCATCCAGGGGCTCTGGGGTTTGGAGGAACTGTTGCCAGATGGGGATCTAGATGCTGCTTCTGGCTTTCATGCCATCAATCTGAATTGTAAATCAGGCTGACTCTTCTCTTTTCTGGCAAGGGCTGTGGACTGTATTTCTTGGTATGCTGTCATCTGCTTTTCCATTTCTAAAGTGCTGATACTATTGTTTCCTCTGCCATTCCATCCATCTTTCAAAAGGGCATGGAGTTGGCCTCCATCTGTCCGCACATTCCACAAGTATACAAATTTGTTATCTGTCTCTTCTTTATAAAACTAAAATATGGGAGGAAAATAAACTTTTAACTTTGTATTTTATGATTTGTTTGAATAGTAAATAAACTAGGATCAGACAAAAAGATGGTGGGTCTTGTGAATTTAATAATAAATCAATGTGGGCTGGGGATGTGGCTCAAGCGGTAGCTCGCTCGCCTGGCATGTGCAGGGCACTGGGTTCAGTCCTCAGCACCACATTAAAAAATAAAATAAAATAAAGATGTTGTGTCCACCAAAAACTGGAAAATATATATTAAAAAATTCTCTCTCTCTCTCTTAAAAATAATAATAATAAATCAATGTGTGTGTGTGTGTGTGTTTGTTTTTTTGTTTGTTTTTAAACAGGTTGTAGTTCCAATGCCTTCATGGCTGACAAGAACCAGAGAATCTGTCACAGATGATCCACAAAAATTCTCAACAGAATTATCTATAATTTATAAATACTCCCCATTCAAAAATGAAGCTGAATTAATGCAGCAATTTGATGTGATCTATGGAAAATGTGGTAAGATCATCAGAATTCTGAAATTTGATGGAAGTTTTTGTTTTGGTGTCTTATGAAAGTCACTCTATATATGTTTTTATGTTAATAATATCATGTGAATTCTCACATGGGGGCAGCCATTCATTTTAGCCATATGAATTTTGTCTTAAGAGAATTGAAACAGGAGTTGCTGTAAATCCTTGGCACAAAGAGGAAGGTTCATTGTGCTTGTGGAGCTTTGTGAAACTGAAGGAGAAGAGGATGATGCAGGCCATGACCCAGTGCTGTATCATGCAGCAGAGTTATTTGTTATTTGCACCATGTAGCCGAGATGCTTATTACATCTGAGATTATGAGTTACAAGGCTGATAAGACTCACAAATTTATAAAACAATGAATCTATGCTTCTGTGGCAGAGATAGCAAGAGCTTTGTTGATATTCTTTTCCAGGATTTTCAGATTTTCCCTCATTCTCTCCTTCTCTCCCAACTTTCTGCTCAACATGTAGAATGTACCATCTTTGCTGATGTTTCCAGTGCCAGTCTTTCTCCAGATTCCCATATTTCTCATACCTTGCTTTAAGGAAAACTGTGAAACTCTTCGATTTATGTATTGTTTGTGGTGAAATTTTATTAAAATTATTTCAGACTTGATTTGCTTTACCTCAAAAATTTCTCCTCCATTCTGTGGCATTTTGTTTAAAAATGATGTTTTAAGTCACTTCTCTTTGTCTCAGCGGAAAAATAATGGCAGTTAAGTTGGTATTCTTTTTATTAATATATACACAATATATTTTAAGAACAGTGATTCACTTCCAATTGTGAAATACAAACATTAATGAAGAGTTTCTTTTTGAATACTTTCCCAAGTGCTTTCTAAAAATTAAGTTATTTTATTCTCAGAACAACTATATGTGGTAGGTCCCTCGTGATCTCCATTGTATCGAAAAATTACGTTTAGAGATAATAAAAAATTTACCTGAGATTACTGTACTAGTAAATGGTTGACTCAGTATTTAGACACAGGCAGTTAAGCTTCAAAGTCCACATTCTTAGCCACCACACTCTTTTTATTTCTACCAACAAAAAGTATAATTATCTTTCTTTTAAAATTTTTCCAACAGCTCGGTTTGTCAGGAATCCAACTTTGTAAATGATTTGGACTTCTTTGATATGAAAAGTTACTTAGAGCAGGGGTCAGCAAACTATGGTGACATACCTGTTTCTCTAAATAAATAGAATACAACTACACTCATTCAGTTATGTCTTCTCTGTGGCTGCTTTCATGCTACAGTGGCAGAGTAGGAGTTATGAGTAGATGTGACAGAGACCATATGGCCTGTAAAGCCTAAAATATTTACTGTCTGTCTCTTTGCAGAAAAAGTTTGCCAATACCAGCAATAGAGTCTAAAAGCAACACTTTGTACAAATTAAAAAACTCGCCTTTGTTCTCTTATGCATTGATTTCAAGCTCACCAATGAGAGCTTCACTTATAATACAAACTTGGCTCAACTTCCTAACACTTTTCATAATGCAAATTATGATGAGTGCTAAAGTTTGAAAGACTTACAATGAATTGAATTAGTAATAAGAAACACCATATTGTAGCAATTCAACATTCTTTGGCAGAGAGTAGAGTTTGCTATAAGATATGAATTTTGGAACATAGTCAAATATATTATTTATTGAAGTGCAAAAGGAAGCTTAGTTATAGTGTATTTAGTTATTCCAAGGATGAGATGGTAGCACAATACCTAGCATTTAGTATGTTTAAAATACTGGCAAGTCAAACATCTCCTTTTTTTTTTTACTAGGTACTTTGCTGGTTATTTATAACTTGAAGCTGCTGCTTAGTGGAGAACCAGAATTGGATGTTAAAACTGACAAAGAAGATATACTGATGGCTGGGGCTGATGAGGAGTGAGTAATGTGTGTGTATGGAGAATGTCTTTCCACAGTGGCATGAGCTATGGTTAGGAGACCTTGCATCCGGGTTCCAGGTCTGAGGCCCCTGGGCCTTACAACTGGCACATAAATTTTACACAAATTATAGAAATAAGAGGGCTAGACCAGGTTCCAAAACCATGTCTAAGTTTCAAAGTGATCTTAAGGCTTCTTAAGAAATAAAGGGCCCTGGGCTTCATCAAGACCCACTGAGTCAGAATATCCAGAAAGCAAGCTTAGAAATCAATACTTTTTAGATATTCCCCACGTGATTCAGAGATATCAGCATGTTTGGGGATTACCAGATTATAAGACTTCTGAAGTTCTGTAATACCATAACTCCCTTTTACTTCGTATTTTTATTTGTTATTCTTAGTTATACATAACAATAGAATCTATTTTGATATAATTATACAAGCATGGAATATATCTTTTTCTAATTAGGACCACAGTCTTATGGATGTACATGATGGTATATTCTCTGTGGTGTATTCATATATGAACATAGGAATGTTATGTCAGATTCATTCCACTGTCCTATTCCTATTCCACCTCCCTTTCCTTCATTTCTCTTTGTGTAATTCACTGAACTTCTGTTCTTTTTTAAAAATTAACAGAATTATCTTAGAGTAGTTTCGATTTGCATTTATCTATTTGCTAGTGATTATGAGCATTTTTTCATATATTTGTTGATTGATTGTAGATCCTCTTCTGAGAAGTGTCTGTTCAGTTCCATGACCCATTTGTTGATTGGGTTATTTGATTTTTTTGGTGCTTAGCTTTTTGATTTCTTTATATACCCTAGAGATTAGTGCTCTCTCTGACGTGTGAGGGGTAAAGATTTGCTCCCAAGATGTAGGCTCTCTATTCACCTCACAGATTGTTTCTTTTGCTGAGAAGAAACTTTTTAGTTTGAGTTCATCCCATTTATTGATTTTTTATTTTAATTCTTGCACCAAAGGAGTCTTATTATTAAGTCTTATCTTGCTCCAAAGGAAGTTGGGGCCTGACCCCACATGATGGAGATTAGGGCCTACTTTTTCTTCTATTAGATGCAGAGTCTCTGGTTTAATTCCTAGGTTCCTGATCCACTTTGAGTTGAATTTTGTGCATGGTGAGAGATAGGGGTTTAATTTCATTTTGTTGCCCATGGATTTCCAGTTTTTCCAGCACCGTTTGTTGAAGAAGCTATCTTTTCTCCAGTGAATGTTTTTGGTGCCTTTGTCTAATATAAGATAATTGTAGTTTTGTGGATTAGTCTCTGTGTCCTCTATTCTGTACCATTGGTCTACAAGTCTGTTTTGGTGCCAATACCATGCTGTTTTTGTTACTATTGCTCTGTAGTATAGTTTAAGGTCTGGTATAGTGATGCCACCTGCTTCACTCTTCCTGCTAAGGATTGCTTTAGCTATTCTGGGTCTCTTATTTTTCCAGATGAATTTCATGATTGCTTTTTCTATTTCTATGAGGAATGTCATTGGGATTTTGATCAGAATTGCATTAAATTTGTATAGTGCTTTTGGTAGTGTGGTCATTTTGATAATATTAATTCTGCCTATCCAAGAGTAAGGTAGATCTTTCCATCTTCTAAGGCCTTTTTGATTTCTTTCTTTAGAGTTCTGTAATTTTCATTATATAGATCTTTCACCTCTTTTGTTAAGTTGATTCTCAAGTATTTTATTTTATTTTATTTTACTTTGAGGCTATTGTAAATGGGATAGTTTTCCTGGTTTCCCTTTCTGAGGATTTGTCACTGATATACAGAAATGCCTTTGATTTATGGGTGTTAGTTTAATATCCTGCTACTTTGCTGCATTCATTTACTAGTTCTAGAAGTTTTCTGGTGGAGCTTTTAGGGTTTTCTAGGTATAGAATCATATCATCAGCAAATAGTGCCAGTTTGACTCCTTCTTTTCCTATGTGTTTTTCTTTAATTTCTTTCATCTAATTGCTCTGGCCAGTGTTTCAAGAACTATGTTAAACAGAAATGATGAAAGAGGGAATCCTGTCTTGTTCCAGTTTTTAGAGGGAATGCTTTCAATTTTTCTCCATTTAGAATGAGGTTGGCCTGGAGCTTAGCATAGATAGCCTTTATGATGTTGAGATAGGTTCCTGTTATCCCTGTTTTTTCTAGTGTTTTCAACATAAAGGGATTCTGTATTTTGTCAAATGCTGTTTCTGTGACTGTTGAGATGATCATATGATTCTTATCTTTGAGTCTATTGATGTGATGAATTATTTTATTGATTTCTGTAATGTTGAACTAACCTTGCATTCCTGGGATGAATCCCACTTGATCATGGTGCACGATCTTTTTGATATATTTTTATATTCGATTTTCCAGAATTTTATTGAGAATTTTTACATCTATGTTCATTAGAGATATTGGATGGAAGTTTTCTTTTTTTGATGTATCTTTGCTTGGTTTTGAAATCAGGGTGATATTGGCCTCATAGAATGAGCTTGGAAGTGCTCCTTCTTTTTCTATTTTCAGAAATAAATTGAGGAGTATGGGTATCTGCTGAGATACAAATTGGTCTTCTTTAAAGGTCTTGTATAACTTGGCTGTGTATCCATCTGGTCCTGGGCTTTTTTTTTTTTTTTTTGGTTGGTAGACTTCTGATAGTGTCTCCTATTTTGTCACTTGAAATTGAGCTGTTTAAATTGTGTATATCATCTTGATTCAATTTGGGCAAATTATATGACTCTAGAAATTTGTTATTCTATGCCTTTGATATTTTCTACTTTATTGTAGTACAGTTTTCAAAATAATTTCTAATTATTTTCTTATTTCTGTAGTGTCTGTTGTGATAGTTCCTTTTTCATTATGTATGTTAGTAATTTGAGTTCTCTCTCTCCTTCTCTTTGTTATCATGGCTAAGGGTCTGTCAATTTTATTTTTTTCAAAGAACCAACTTTTTGTTCTGTCAGTTTTTTCAGTTGTTTCTTTTGTTTCAGTTTCATTGATTTGAGCTCTTATTTTAATTATTTCTTGTCTTCTACTGCTTTTGTGTTGATTTGTTCTTTTTCTAGGGCTTTGAGATGTAATGTTAACTCATTTATTTGTTGACTGTTTCTTCTTTTAAGGAATGAATTCTATACAATGAACTTTTCTCTTAGAATTGCTTTCATAGTGTCCCAGAGATTTCAATATGTTGTATCTGTGTTCTCATTCACCTCTAAAATTTTTTAATCTCCTCCTTGATGTCTTCTGTTCATTCAGTAGCATATTTAGTCTCCAGGTGTTGGAGTAGCTTTTATTTCTTATTTTATCATTGATTTTTAATTTCATTCCATAATGATCTGATAGAATTCAGGGTAGTATCTCTTTTTTTTTATATTTGCTAAGAGTTGCTTTGTGGCATAATATATGGTCTATTTTAGAGAAGGATCCATGTGCTGCTGAGAAGAAAGTGTATTCTCTTGTTGAAGGATGAAATATTCTATATATGTCAGTTAAAGTCTAAGTTATTGATTGTATTATTGAGTTCTATATTCTCTTTGTTCAGCTTTTATTTGAAAGATCTATCTAGTGCTGAAAGAGGTGTGTTAAAGTCCCCTAAAATTATTGTGTTGTGGTCTATTTGACTCTTGAGCTTGAGAAGAGTTTGTTTGGTGAACATAGATGCTCCATTGTTTGTGGCATATATATTTATAATTGTGAAGTCTTGTTGGTGTATGGTTCCCTTGAGCAGTATGTAATGTCCATCTTTATCCTTTTTGATTGACTCTAGCTTGAAGTCTACTTTATTTGATATAAGGATAGAAACCCCTGCTTGCTTCCACAGTCTATGTGAGTGGTATGATTTTTCCCAACCCTTCACCTTCAGTCTGTGGATGTCTTTTCCTATAAGATGAGTCTCTTGAAGGCAGCATATTGTTGGATCTTTTTTTTTTTAAATCCAATCTTCTAGTCTATGTCTTTTGACTGCTGAGTTTAGGCCTTTAACATTCAGGGTTAGTATTGAGACATGATTTGTATTCCCAGCCATTTTTGTTTAATTTTGGTATTTAACGTGATTTGGTTTCTACTCTGATTAGGTTTTCCTTTAGTGTAATACCTCCCTCTGCTGATTTTTATCATTGTTTTTAATTTCCTCTTTGTGGAATATTTTGCTGAGGATGTTTTGTAGTGCAGGCTTTCTAGTTGTAAATTCTCTTAATTTTTGTTTATCATGGAAGGTTTTTATTTTATCATCGAATCTAAAGCTTAGTTTTGCTGGATATAAGATTCTTGGTTGGCATCCATTTTCTTTCAGAACTTGATATATGTTGTTCCATGATTTCCTGGCTTTGAGGGTCTGGGTTGAAAAATCTGCTGAGATACAAATTGGTCTCCCCCTATATGTAATCTGATTCTTCTCTCTTGTGGCTTTTAAGATTCTATCCTTATTCTATATGCTAGGCATTTTCATTATAATGTGCCTTGGTATATATTTGTTATAATTTTGTACATTTGGTGTCCTGTAAGCCTCTTGTATTTGGTTTTCCAATTCATTCTTTATGCTTGGGAAATTTTCTGATATTATCTCATTGAAGAGATTGTGCATTCCTTTGGTTTGAAACTTTGTGCCTTTCCCTATCCCAATAACTCTTAGATTTGGTCTTTTGATGCTGTCCCATAATTTGTGGATGTTCTGTTCATGGTTTCTTACTATCTTCACTATGTGATCAACTTTGTCTTCATTATCTGAAATTCTTTCTTGCAAGTGATCTAGTTTGTTGATTATGCTTTCTATTGAGTTTTTTATTTGGTTTATTGTATCTTTCATTTCGAGGATTTATGACTGTCTTTTTTTTTTTTTTCAGAGTCTCTATCTCTCTCCTGAAGTAATCTTTTGCTGCCTGTATTTGCTTTCTTATCTCTTTGTTGGAGTGATCAGTTTTTGCCTGTATTTGCTCTTTTAGCACATTCTTTAATTCACAGATCATTTTAATTATGAACCTTCTGAACTCCTTCTCTGACATTTCATCAA